CCCCAAAACCCCAAAACCCCAAAACCCCATGATATATAATTAATATTGAAAACACTGAGAATGGAAAGTATGAAGGAGAAAATGCTTGCCAAAATGGGTCAAAGGATCCAGGTCGATAAAGCAGCAGAAGAAGCTAAGCAGGAAGAGATCAAGAAGAAGAAAGCTGAAGAGCTTGCAAAGAAAAAGAAGGGATTGAGACTCAAAAAGCAAAAACAGAAAGAGGCTGAAAAATTAGTCCAAGCTGAACAAAAGGTTAAATCTGCGAAGGAAGCTCTTGTGTTCTCTCTCATTCTGTTGATCGAGTACCAGGGAGAAAAGATTTTGAGAAGACATTGGCCTATTATTTATAACATTATTGATCAATCCCAGCTAGGTGAGATATTCGAAGAAAGAGATGCCAACGACAGATGTTCAAATCTTCCTTGTTATAGAGCCTTATCCAACCGAGGAGCTTCCCAAGGCCAGCTGCTTGACCTATTCGAGCAGGAGAAAGAGAAAAAGAAAGGATATTTTAATGAGAAGGCTACTGAAGAACTTCTTAATTTGTTCTTTTGCTCTCCAAAATGTAAGAACCAGGCTAGGGAGGACATAGAAAAGGTGAATCGGGATTTGGACAGCTACCACTTCAAGGGTATTTCTAGCTTTAAGTTCTTGGCAAAGTACCCTGCGTCTAATGTCAAGTTGCTTGAGTACTATGATGCAATGGCTGAATTCAAAGCTCTATGTGAGAAAGTCAGGAATTTACCTACTGAAATTGAAACAAGCTTCAAACAATTGGTCAAAGAAGAATCAAGCCTTGACCCAGAGACCCAGTCGAGTAGCACCTTGGTCGAGGAAGAGAAGAAGCAAGATGGCTCTCCCTTCATCGTTGAGAAGCAGTTCACCCAAAAAGAGCAGGAAGATATACTTGACAAAAAGATTTCTCATGAAGAGGTTATTGAGGGGTATGTTCCGAAGGAGCAGCCTCAGAAGTCCATCCTGAAGCGGAGGAACAATGGGAGTTTTACTTTGAAAGAGCCTCAAAGCAAGGTGAAATTTGACGATGATGATTCTACAGACCAGGAAGAAGATACTGAAATCAGTGAAGACTCTTCTGAGGAAGATCCTCATGAAGTCCTTGCTGACATTGGTACTGAGCTTCAAGTCTCCAGTTATACCAAGCTAAGCATGCTCTTTATTTCTGCTTGTGACAAGAACAGGCTTAGTGAATTTGTCAGATATCCGAAGCTTGAAATCCAGAACCCAGACTTTGATAAGCTTGATATACTTTGTGAGAGGCTAAGGAAGGAGTTCAACCTTCTTGTTGACTCTAAGATCGAAGAACAAACAAGGATCTCTCTTTGGAACGAGATTAGGAGACTTCTTTCCTCCTTGAACTATTACTACTCTTCTATACCAAGCTTGAATGCAAAGGAGAGTAAGATGATGATCTACTGCCTTGTGAAGTTTATTCAAGACCATAAGCTTGTCACTGATGTTCAAGACTGGGTCGCCAGCCTCAACAGTGGCGACTGTGAAGAAGCACTTTGTAGTTACTTCACACTGTAAAATGAAGGTTTTACTATATGGAATTAATTTGAATATCCCTCTGTCAATTTTTGGAAATGGCTTCGGGGTTTTGGGGTTTTGGGGTTTTGGGG